ATTCCTGTGGAACGATTGTATGTGCAGACTGTCGACTTACCCCACAGGGTAAACAACGGATGTGCGAGTGCGTCTTGCCAATCGATTGCCTTGAGACCTCCAAAGTGAGAGCAGGAATGACCTCAGACGAGCGTCAGTTTTTATACGAGGCCATCCTCACACATGAGGACGTAGATTTGGCAGTCCAGAAAATCAACATGTATTGCGAACACGCAAGAAGCATGTTCGAAAAGGACCATCCAGGCGTAGATCCATACAGCCTTGATGATATCAGGAACAATCCTCCGAATACGTATGACAGCTCCACAGAGGCTCCAACCTTGGAGGAATATAAGAGCGTTAACAAGAGTCACATCAACATCAAGGACTCTAGAACAAGCCACCCGGCTTCTTTTCTCACTCTCACTGGCCACGAAGACAAACTGGTGCTCGATGCACATTACGAGATAGTTCGCAATAGGATGGCCGGTGTCAATGAGAAGAGAGAATACATTGAAGGCTCGAACCCAGATAGTGTATCGCTAAATCTAGTGGTATTCAACTGGGGAAATATGGATCGAGCTCCGGTGCCCGCAGGGAATCCCAAAAAGAAGCTCAAACCTGAGAAGGGATTCGATTATCACCCTCTTATTGACATGTGCTTCAACAATTCAGCTCATATTACCCTCGTACTCGAGGCAGGAGCACTTGCGTCAGAGTACTCGATCGCAACCATGCGAAAACACGAATACAGAGGGATGCTAATCCATTCTCCTCCCAAGGAGCCTGAGGCACCCTCAATGTACATCGGAGTCAAGGGTGACCCAACAACAGACATTGCTCTCGTCCACCACTTTTATCGTCATCGAACAATGAAGCCTAAGAATGGTGGTACCAAGAAGCGACTGTGGGCATGCCACGGTGCGGTGTGCCGCCTCACATTCGGGTACCACAGTACCATACCAGAGGCAAAAGAATGGGTCCACCCAAATTCTGGCCAAAGGATGACGAGAGACGAGTTCATGCAGATTATCGGATATGACCCGCTCAAGGGCAAAAATCCTGACAAGGATGGACCCACTGATGGCTCTTACCTCTCACCAGAGGCGTGTCTGACATTGTCGACTCTTAATCCCTCGCCGATTCTCTGTGAATGGAACGGCCATGTCGAGGGTGATGAGCCACCAGAGGAAGACTTTGAGACATACGCAGAGATCTTCTCACAAGAAGCATCTAATGATCTTGACGAGATGTGGTGTACAAAAGGGCCTTACAAGGTCATCACCATTGCGATCGTCCATTTCAACTCGTTCATGACTCATAAGGAAGAACAGAGACGCGAACTGGTGAACGCGTTCCTCAACGAGGTTCTCCCTTTTAAACCGGATGTGATAGCGGGAGATCTCAATAATATTGCGTCGAGGCTCACCTTAAAAGGTGGAGACGTTCACCCGCGAAACAGTTTGTTTTCTCTATACCTGGAGAAGAAACTTGCAGCATTCAACAGAATAGCAGGAAGGCACTCACAAGTGCGACATCTTTGCTTGAACAACTCCGACCAGCACAGACTGGCACGTGCAGATCGTCTACCGGCGGACCCGGCGAAGAAAGTTGCTGACCTTGACTGTATCAACAGTTATATCCTTGACTGGAGTAAAACGCCGCACACGGCGTCACCTAGTCCAAGAGAGGTCACACCTGCCGCTGAAAGAACATACTGGGAACGAATCTCAGATATGTGGCAGGACACGAACAACAACAGGGATATTGATATCCGTCTGTTTGTTTCAGTCAAGCAGTACTATTCAACTTTCTCTAACCTTGACCTATGGTTGGGTCCCACTGACAAAGATTGGCATAGCCCACTGGGCTTCACGATACAACCAATCCTTACAAAAGGGAAACACAACCGGTCAGATGCCCAGGTCCAGAAATCGCTGACAAGCGAAAGGCTTACAAGCAGCGTAATGCTGAATACTGGGGTTACAACGATTCATTCGTTTACTCATCCGGCAACAGCTGGTACGACAAATCGCAACCATCAGGTAGCCATCACAGATATGGAAGATTCTGGGAGTGGCCACAGCCTGAACGTCCCAGCGAGCCTGAAGGTCCTCCTCCAAGAAGGAACCAGGAATCATCATCCTCTTCACAACAGGATCTACCAAGATCAAGGTCCAGGCCTCAAAGAACCAATATTGTTGACAAGCTCAACATGTCCTTGGAAGAGCTGGACGGACTAGAAGAAGAACCGTCACCAACAAAAAGTGACATCGAAGAACACGAAAGAGAAACATCAAACTTGATGTCTGCTCAGAGAGATGAAGAGGAACAAGAGGACGAATCCTCCAGTCGGAGAAGAAGAAGGAAGGCATCGCGTCCACCGTCTGCTCCGAGCGGCAAGGCACTCAGAACAGCTGCTACAGCAGCGGGGTTGTCGGGCTGGTTCGGACACCGCAACCGAGGTGGAGCAAACGCAGAGTCTACCAAGACTGACGAGACTTCACTTCCAGACTCACTAACCAGTGAGCAAAACTTCTCTGTCTTCAGCATCACGTGGAATGTGTTCCTGCTGCTAATGGGCTTACACTGGATGTGGAAGCAGATTACCAGGCCTCCTATCAGATGTATGGAGCGCCAACAACCAAAATCAAGAGCAGCAGCGAACCAAAGAGTTCCATTCCTCGAACCCGAGGATGAACCGCAGACGCGTGAACCTTTAGGACCCAACAGGGTTAATTCCGGAGAAACAACTGATCTGCGACCTATTTGGCATACTTCCCGAAGCGAAGTCTACCATCTCTCAGACAGCTGCTACCAGCTTAAGCAAGCAAGAGATGTTTGCAGGAAGGTGCTATGCAAAAACTGCCTCCATGCAGTACAAGTTGCGGAGATTCGCAGGAATGATCCTTTCCAAAGAGGTGATACACGACCACGTGGCACCGAAAGAGACATTGAGCGCTTCCAGACCTACGATGATGCAAGTAACACTCCTCACATGACGCAATTATTTCAGGATGCCTTGCATGCACAAATGGCCGAGGAAGCCATGCAGATCACCTACACATCGATCCCTAAGGGATCCGCGGCAAAGGCCAGAGGTACATCTGCACTTCCAAGTGCCGCATCGTCATCAGCGTCCAAGGCAATGCCACCAGGGCCTAACAAGGCTAACATGTCACCTCCACCTAAGAGTCCTCCGCCGAAGGCGAAAGGAACAGTACCTTCTGATCCTCCAAGACCAAAAGGTCCTACCAGAAGAGGAGGTCAAAATCGGCGTATTCAACGAAAAGCAGCTAGAGAAGCCCACAACAGTGGACTCTGCACTTATGCAGACGCTGCACTTGACCAAGCCAATCAAGGCCAGGCAATTAACGTTACGTGTCGAAACATAGTATCAAGACACATCAGCTCTATCGATGCAACGGTAGAAGCATCCGGCCAGTTTACACAACGCGTGCTACAGCACGTAGAAACATATGATGAAGAGGAACCGTGGAGCACGGAGTTCCTACCAATCGTGGAAGTCCTATTCAGGAACTTAAGCGGCGACGAAACAACTGTCATACATGACAATCAAACGGTAACTATGCCTCTTGCGAAATACACAGACCTCCTCAGAATCGCACAAGCATTGCGAGGCTCTATCCAGAGAGACAAGGAGGAAAGAAAGGAACATCTTGACACCATCCAAGATACTCTATCCAGAGTGGAAATCCTTCTCACAGCACTGAAGGACTCAAGGACAGTCTTTAATCAATTGGTCAATTCCTCACTAGAGATAGAGCGAAGAAATAACAATCTCAAAAATGTCCTCGAGACACTCTTTGATGACCAAAGCTCTGAGGAAGACCAATCAGAATCTGACAATGAAGAAGTCCTAACTCCTTCTGCACCACAGTACTGGAATAGCCTTTATGCCCACGCCTTATCTCCTTCAGGAGATGAAAGTGAAAGATCATGGGCGTCCTCAGACGGACAGCTTGAAAGAAGAAGGGCTGAACGGGCAAAGGCTAAGCAGCCGCAACCGGCAAAAGCCAAGGCAACTCCAGTCAGCTCACAAGCTGCTCCAAAGGCCGAGCCAAAGGCGACAACATCCAACCATGGATATGATACTGCAGACGCCGCCTTCACCAGGGCTGAGAACAGATTATTCGGAATCTTCTCAAGTTCCGAAGAAGACCACTCAGACCCGGATGAGCCACATCCGAACGTTTACGCTCGAGCCTATGATCCAAACCTGGATCCTAATCTGAGATAAGAAAAGTCTCAGAGTTTCACAATAGTGAATCACAAGGCTCTAACAAGAGCACAATGAGTGGCTGCATAATTCGGTAGCAGAACATCACCAGATCTGATCTTGTACAGATGATCTCTCTGACAAACATGCATGAGTGTGTGCGCAAAAGGAGTGGAGTTTCCTCAGCAGTATACTTCAGTGCTATACCTAGCATACTTAATATGCTGTTTTTATAATGAGTCCAAAAACTCCGCAACTGTGACAGTGGGCATAACAGTATATGTTTGAATGTGCGGCCATGCTTTCGGTAAAAGAAAATTAGTGTCTGTTTGAAACCATAAACCTCTAAAGGGGTAGCTCTAACAGGTACCTACAGCAATGGCTGCATGCTCATACATATACATTCCGCTGCCCATTGGCTCACAGTGGTTTTACCATATTGAGACAAGACAAGCTCTCCTTGCGTAGCAAGACAAAACAACTACTGTCCGTGTGCAGGGCGCTGCCCTTTGATCCTTAGGGAATAAACTGGTCATACACCTCCTTACAAGGAGTATCCCTTGGGGGTGTATCGGCACAGGGGGATTACCATGGGGGGGGGAGGGGGGGGGGGGGGGCGCGGATGCTGGCACATATAGGGGCTCGAAAAAGAGGTCTTGATTCTTAAACCACATGTGTGGGGTCCGGTGCTAAGGGCCTTAATGTAGAGGCATCGGCCGTTGGAGCAGCGTTGTCCGTCTGTTGAAGAAGAGGTATACAGGGACCATGCCAGCTTGACAAACTATTCAGCCATCGAAGATCCCCAAAGCGATCCCCAAATCCCCGAAACGAAACGGGACACGCCCGATGTAGCAACCTGAATGATTAGACTACCGTCTTCGAGGTTTCTCATTCAGGCAACCACAAACAAGACTCTCACCGCGTCTTCCGGGACCCTTGTCGCGTCCAAACCCTCAAAAACTCCAAAAACACTCAAAACCCTAAACGGCGGAAACATGCCAGGATTAAAACATCCCTAAGCGAACTTTAAGGATCGAATCAAACACAAGTTAACCTAAACCCTAAACCGTGGGCAGGACGCCTTGATATCTTTGTCCGCCTCTTTGACGTGTTTCCCCTTGAAGTCCGGCACCTGGGGCGACAGCGAAGGAGTTCAGGGTTTGGTTTAGGGTTTAGGGGGGATTAGCTTGACCGACTAGAAGCAAGCTCTTTATTTGCACTTGGAGGACCGATAGTACTGACCACCATTACTCCTTCTCCTGAACCTTCTTCCCACCTGTTTCTGAACTCGAGAGGTCACAGATTCCTGCTGTACGCTGGCCCTCCTCGAGGAATCTCCCTGTCAGCTGCCTTCAGCCTATGCTGTCGCTTGTCTCAAGCACGGAAGGGCTCTAATGAATCAGAGATGCTCGCCTTTGGTGACTTTGTGGGTACAATCCTAAACTCTAGACCCCAGAACAAATACAACACTGCGCCAACAGTCTTGATAAGCCTAAACCATGGATGTTCATTCTTACATCCAGGCTTTTAAAGCTCCTACGGTGAAGGCTTTGATAACACGCTTATAGGAGCGTAAGTCCTTGAACTCACTACTTGTGGCCGAAGAAACACCCCAAACCCTACAATCTAAAACACGGTTTTAGAATCTTGTCTCCCCAAACTCCTTATCTTCCTTCTTCCGTTCCTCCTACCTTATCTTCAACTGTATGACGATCGAGGCTGCCCGAACCTTTGTAATTGGACCAGTGTGTCGAAGACCAATATCGTAAATACCTTCGGGAGCCAGACACGTACAGTAGCTTTGGATGTTCTTGGGGTTTAATTAGTGCTTACAGCAGTTATGCAGACATCCCTGCGGACCTCGTCGGTGAAGCGGCCGTCATCATCGATCGGGCACACCATTCCGGTCCCGTCCTGGTGAATTCATGTGGAAACTGGAAACACCATCCCAAATCCTGCCAGTTCCAACGTCGATTCTGCTAAACTCCAAACACCAAACCTGAAATCCCAAAGCCTGAACTCCAAACGCTGAACTCGCATAAACCCCGCTCTGGCTTTGGCTACGACGCATAAGGCTTCTGCAAGAGTCACCTCACACATTGCCATACGCAGCCCTGCCTAAACTCTACCTAACTTCCTGAAAACTATCGTAGAGGGTGTGCTCGGAAGAGGCATCCCAAACTTGGGGTTCTTGTAATAGTGGGTCGTAATGAACATGCCGCAGCCCTCCACCAGAAAAAAAAACCCTCCAGAAAATCCCTGGCAACCCGACGTGCTACGATCCTTTTCACAAGGGCCCCCACACAACGAACATTCATTTCTACAAACAACCTGTAATTAGGAAATCCCCTGGTTAACCAAAAAAGGAACTACAATGGAGACTATAGGTAAACCCGAAACCAACCCCTTCCAAGGTACCTTGAGGATGATCCCAGCACCCGTGCACACGCGGTTGTCATCCTTCGAATTTAAGGTACACGAAAAGGCTTAGGGTTTCTTTTAAGTGTACTGGCTAGGTCGCCCTAGTCTGTCTTTACAGACATACACTGTGTGAAACCTGATGATCTTCAGGCTTAGGGTTTAGGGGGTTAGGGTAAACTTTTGGCTTTATGGAGTTTGCCAATTGCCTTTGTAGGAGTTTCGGATTGGCTGTTACAGGTCTTGGGAGGGTTTAGCAAGATTCTGATAGCATAGTCTGTGGTCTCCTGAAACTATATGATTGAGGGTCTTGCGCAAATCCCTACAACCGTATACCCCTGAAACTCAAGACCTTGAAACCTTAAGGCCCTCAACCCTTACACCGGAGGTGCTGCCCGATAGACTAAACCCCAAAATCAAAAACTTTGAAAGGCCAGAATAAATTTCAAAAGCTGGAGCCAAAAAAATGTACGCCCGATTCAAGGCTCAAGGTAACCCATGCTCTCGAGCTCACGAACTTGGTTTTCGGGTTTAGGTGCGGGTTTAAGTCTGGGGTGCTGGGGTTTTACAGTGCGTTAGGGCTTTGGGAATCAAGCTTTGTTGCCTTAGAGCGTTCGGACTCAGGACTTTCGGGTTAGGTCTTCAGGGCGCCAGGTTTGCAGGTTTAGAGCCCTAGGGTTTACGGGTTTAGTTGCGGGGCTGTTGCACAAAAGCAATGCCAGCTCTTCGGAAGAGTCACCCCCAAGAGCCTGAGGTATTAGGGATGTCTCAAGAATCAAGCTAGGGATTAAAGAAGTACTGTTTTATATAGCTTCAAAGTGACAACAAAACATCTCAACACAAAATCTGCAAACCCACAAACATCCTGTTTAAAAATCCTCGTTCCATACTTCGTGGTTTTCGGGCTCAGTCTTCGGTTGCCAACACTGAATGGTGTAAAAGTTTTCGAAACACCCACTAAGTCCGAGCTGAGGGTTCTATATAGAAAGGCTTCGTTTTTTCCTGTAAGGGGGCTCTATTGTCTGGCGGTTTCCCCCACATCCCTTTCGCAGGCATCCGCCAGATACTCTGTTTTCTTGTGGCTATAAGGAACTATAAGTATAGCTACCTTATTGCCCTAGTTACTAGGTCCCGTGATCCTTTACGAGACCTAAGAGTAACCTAGGAATAAAATGGGTGCCCTTTTTGGTTGAAGTGGAGTGGCTTAAAAGTGGAGTGGCTTATAAGGCAACCTGAACCCTAAGAACAGGGAATAAGGGCCTACTCTAAGTCCTAGTCCTTTAAGTACACCAAGACCCCACACCCCAGGTGTTCTTGGGGCCGATCCTCTCCGAAGGCAGGTGCTTGGTGAACGATGCATGTGCCGGCCTTTTGGGTTCGTCGTGGGTTTAGGGTTTAGGGTTAAGGTTTAGGGTTTAGGGTTTAGGGTTAAGGGTTTAGGGTTTAGGGTTGTTTTGAAGGTTCTTCATATAAGGTCCTTGTCTGTAGGATGACGGTGCATTTTACATGGCTGTACGAGGGTGCGTAGGGTTCTTGAACTCGGGGTGCCCGTTTGGGCACGCTTGTGTTGAGGACCGTTACTAAAGGGTCTAGTACCTCCAAGGGCTTGTCGGCTTTACGCTTTACGGGTTTGGGGTCTGGACGCTTTAGGGGTCGTAAACTCTCCATGGTACCAAGTTAGGCTTTTGATGCCTGGAAGGATTCGAAAGACTGTCTGGCTCGTCGTAGGGATTGAGGGAATGGATCATGGGGACTAGTTTTGGGGCTTATGTAGGGACTACCATAGGGATATTTTCCCCAATTCCATACGAAGCACCAGACAGATGAGGGATGGGGACCGAGAAGTTCGGCTTCAGAGTTTCTCAAGATGAGGGTATCCGAAAATGGGGGACCCTACTGTAGTACCCTAAATGGTAGGATCCTTACTAGAAGGACCCCAAGATAAGCTACCCCTAATTTTGGGAAACTCCCAGATGTCCGGCTTCCGGAGGCGGGCTTTGCCACGTGGGGCCTCAGGGGACGGGTGCTCTCAGATAGGGTTTCGGGTTCACTTTTAGATATGTTTTGCTGGCTCCTTTAAGGGTTTAGGTCGCTCAGGTTTCGTGTTTCCGGGGCACGGCTGAAGCCTCATATCTCGGGTACCTCAAATAGAACAAATAGACAAACATACCTCCTGTACCCCAAATCCTGAAGCAATGGCAGTGAATACGGGCTGAAAGCCCACAACCTTAAACCTGAGTCAAAACCTTAAACCCTTGATCACTATTACTATTACCCTGAACCCGAAGCCTACCTAAACCTTAATCATTGTCCAATCCCTACGCCCGCGACTAGTGCGTGCAGTGTCTAGTGAGCTCGGCCTCCGTGGAGACATAGCCATCCGAAACGATCTGCCAAGCCTCCTCCCGTGCCTGAAGGAGGTCTAGGGCTTAGGGTTTCTGGTTTAAGGTTGAGGGTTTGGGGCTTAGGGGGTTTTAGGAAAGTTTAGGGTTTAGGAAGGATGCTTGGGATGCTTGTGGCGTAGGGTTTGTTTTGGACTTGCTCAACACCGAATTCCTCACTTTCCGGGCGTTGCTTCATATGCAGTATTATCTAGTATGCTACACAACATAGTATCTAATGTATAATGCGGTATATAATGCTAACCTACATGAGGGGCAGCTTTGCATATGTAACTCTGTCTTGTCTGGAACTGCTGCATTCGGATTTGTCCGCTCTTGGGGCTTAGGGTTCAGGGCTTGGGGTTTCGGGGTTTAGGGGTTTAGGGGTGTGAGGCTTCTGGTTTTAGGGCTAATCCCCTAACTTAGGGGCCACTCTCCTACATCTACTTCCATTCAAAACCCCTGACCTCTTAAACCCTGCATCCAGAGCCAGCGGTTCAAGGCTTGGGGGGTTTGCGGTTGAAGGAATACCTAAAGGGTCTTGGGACTGAGTACTGTATCTAGGGTAAAGAGTATGAGTAACATAACTACTTGCCATAGCTTTCAACCTCAGTTAGGATACTTATGACCTTACTCTAAGTCCTATGATCCTTCAAGTGAGCGGTTGTCAAAAATAGCGTACGTTTTGGGGTCCTTATTATAATACGGCACCTAATTTTTTATGTAGGGTACCCAAAAAGGGACCTTAATTTTCACAACCACCCAATTAAGGTCGGGGCTTAGGGGTCTAGGTTCTTAAAGCCCCTCCCTTACCAAGCCCCACCGATCCTCGAGATGAAAGGCTGCGTAAACGGATCTCCCCTCCGAGTCCTTACATATAATCCTATTACAGCCTACATACTCCGAAAGAAGTCTAGTTTCTCTGAACCGCAGAAAACCCAACCACCCCTCCCAAGTTCTATGACCCTTTTCAACCACGAAACCCTAATCAAAAATGCCCCCCCTCAAAGAAAGGAAAACCCTAAACCCCTAAACCCTAAACCCTAAAACCCTAAAACCCTAAACCCCTAAACAAACTCTAAACAACAAGTTGCTAAATTTAAGAAGTACAGACACTCCCCCAAGCGCTCCCACAGGCCTTGCCCTTGAAGTAATCGAAGAGAGGCTCGTACTCGAGCCCCATCAGCTCCTTGCCCTGAAAAAGCGGATTTTGAGTTTTTTTTTTTTTTGAGGACCTTTTTCCAGTGCATGGAGAGCCTCAATGAGGCAGGCCCGGTCTATACATTTTGAGTTTAGGGCCTGGGGTTTAGGATTGATGGTCTTAGGGTTGAGGGTTGAGGATTTAAGTGTTCGGCTTTGAACCCGAAAAAGACACCGTCAAGGGACCTATAAAGGAACCCGTTGAGGCAACAAGCAAAGGAACCCTTGAAAAAACCTTTACAGGAACAAGGAACGGTTTAGGGTTTAGGGTTTGAAAAAACCTTTACAGGAAGAAGGGACCCTCTACTGAAAACAACTACAGCGAGACCCTCAACAGCAAATTCAGGGCCTGGTACATGTAAGGTGGTGCTGAATTTAGAATCCTGGGTTCAGGGCTCAGGGGCAACTTTTTCGCCGGAGAAAGGTTTTGGCATGTAGCCTTGTATAGTTGTAGGAACTATAATGGAGTTCTTGCTGGAATAGGCTCATGTGTTCATAGATTGACCATTTGGGTGGTTGTCAAAATTATGGTCCCTTTTGGGGTCCTTATTATAATACGGCACCTAATATTTAGGGTACCCAAAAAGGGACCCCAATTTTGACAACCACCCATTTATGGCTAGGGATGTGGGCTTCTTGTTTAAAGCCTTGGCCTGGCTATTGGGCTTAGGGCATCGGGTTTACGGTTTGGGGTTTCGGCTTCTACAGTGGGCTTGAACAGTTACGGGTGAGTGGAGTTTAGGGTGGAACGAGCGCTATTTTGCCTGTAGCCTTGTTGCTATGGGTTGCGCTGCTCCCCTAAACACTGAGAACACTACACCGAAAAGCTGAACGGGTGGACCAATGGCGGCGCCAGCCTGGATCAATGAACGGCTTCGTCCTGGTTGCCACACGGCTCCAGGAGACCTTGTTCGAGTCCTTCATGGTTGCCATGCCGGTCAGACTAGAGTTCATCTGTGCTATGACCTTCAATCCACAGAAACTCGTACATGAAGTCGTTTGCGGCCGCCAGAACGATGAGAGCTCAGCTCGTCAACGAGGTGCCGATGTGGGTTCGTCGCGATGCTGGGGCCCGCGACCTCCTGCACCCAGTCCACGCGGTGGTTGGTCATGAACGCAGACAGCTGGGCTGCGGTCACCCCGATCCCCGTGCCAAAGCTGGGATGACCTGCATAAAAGACGCGGCCCTGCCTCGCCATCGGTTTCCGCATCTTCTGCGCGGGCTTGCAGTGAGGTTTCCCTCTTCCTTCAAGGGCTCCTATATCTGAACCCTCATAGAACCCTTTGCAGGATCCAAAAAAGGAAGGCCTCGCACCTTGAAGCCCGTTACGGTGCCCTGCGACCTCCTGAAATGTAATATGGCAGCCTTAGTAATTGAAATAGGGTTTTGGGGCCCAATATACTACAATGATAATAAGGAACCCCCCCAAAATAGTGTAGGTAATTATGAAAAACCCCATATTAGACCTTCATCCGTTTCGGGTGTAGTACAGAGGCCTTCACACTTCCAACAGAATGTCATCGTGAACCCATAGTAAGGAACCCTCAGGAAGAAACTTGGCCATGATTACGTTCGGCTTCAGGGTTCAGGGGTTTCCGGCTTAAGGGCGTTTAGGGTTAAGGGTTTAGGCTTCAGGGGCTTAGGGTTTATAAGATTCGGTTTAAAGTCCTAAGACTCAAACCCTAAACCCCACAGGGTTAGGGCCTTGGGGTCATGGCTCAAGAGGCCCCCCCACCCCCCCGGCCTGCTTGCTCCAGAGGACCTTGAAGTCCTGGCGGGCCGGGCTTTGGTGCTTTCGAGGGATGTCTGGCTTTTTCGAAGCAGAACATGGTAAGTTATGCTAAACTATGGTATGCAATAGTAGGCTATGGTATATGTTATGGTACATTATGCGATGTTATGGTACATTAGGGTATGTTATACTGGCACAGCAATGGTTTCTCTGTCAGCTTTCTAGGGCGTCTATTGGGTTCTATAAGAGTTGTGCAACGGTTGTATGCGGGTTGCGTAAGGATTGTGTAAGGGCGTATCCAAGGGCTTTAATGCGCTTCTATCAGGCTTTCCATAAGAGTTTGGGGTTTCGAGCTTTACTGAAGGGTTTCGGGTGCTAGCAAATGAGGCCTTAGTGTCGATTCGGGCCCCTATAATGGCTTCCAAGGCCTAAACCCTGGTGAACAGCGCGTTACTTCCAATGAGCCACCGGTGCCAGTCTGTGTCTGCTTAATTTCCTGAGTCCTATGCAGAAACCCTAACCCTAAACTCAAGCCCCAAACCCAATCCCGAAGTCTTACTTCAGAATGCCGATACTACGGCCTGCAAGGAAGTAAGTTGTTCTGAAGAAGCAGTTTGGAAAGACCGTACCAACAGCCATACTATAGAGGCCTTAAGAATTGGACTGGGGCTTTAGGGTAGATGATAGCATGCTTATGCAGGAGTACAGCGGGATGCTACCATTGGTTGTTCGGACCCCTCGGTTGCTACACCTCATACCAGTAGCCCCCAAATCTTCACAAACTGCCACGCACCTTTGGCAACGGCATCTTCCAAAACGGCGCATTTAAAGAATGTAGGTGTTGTGGTCCTTTCAGGATCCCTACACGTAGGATTCGATGTACTGTTTAGGCTACATGATAGGGTAGCCTATTTGCTGAAACTCCCTTGTAAACTTGTAGCACTACTCCCCAGACTCTAAACCCTCAACCCTAACCTTTGATGAAGGAACCCCCTAACCCTAACCCGAAGCCCCAAATACTAAGCCCTAAAAACCCAAAAGCCCCAAACCCAGCAGCCCTAAACCCTGAAACCCTAAAGCCTAAATACCAAACCCCTAAACCCTAAACCCCTAAACCCCTAAACCCCTAAACCCCTAAACCCTGAAACCCTAAAGCCGTGAACTTTCAGCTCGTTTCACTGGGGCCTTCTCTGGATTCTTCTTGATGGAAGAACAGATCCAAGGCCAGCGGTCCTGGCTTTAGGGATTAGGATTTAGGGTTTAGGGTTTTAGGGTTTTTGGGTTTTAGGGTTTAGGGTTCAGGGTTTCGGGGTTAAGGTTTCGGGCTTAGGGTTTCGGGTGCCGGGTTTTGGGGTTAGGATCTAGGGTTTAGGGAGTGCAGGGTTTAGGAAGCAGAATTTTGAGGTTCCGGGTTTAGGATTTGTGTTTCTAAAGTTCAGGGTTTGGGCGTTTCTCTTTGCGGTTGGGCAAGGTCACTCTCGATCGTTTGGGATCAGAGTGCATGGGTTCGGGCTGAGGATTTCGGGTTTAGGGTTTTTGGCTCGGGGTGGAGGGTTAAGGGATTTCAATCTCTACGAAGCAGCCACTGCACTTGTGCCATAGCAAGGCACTCTATGCCAGGATGAGAAATGGGGCACACCACATATCGGCGATGATAGTGCGCAGATTTTGTAATACGACCGTGATACGTGCTGGTCCATAGGCGGTTGCACTGTGGTATCGGGTTTTGTCGTTTGTTTATCTGGTCCTGAAAAAGTATACATTGTCCAGTTATGGGGTTGGGTGCGGGAAAAAATATGTGCGGGCATGGAAAGAAACAGTCAAAACAACTGCAAACCCTATACACCCTACTACAGCACATGATGAGGAACCTAACTTAAGTATGTTCCTGATGTGCTGTTTTGAATCTGTCCACTGTGATGTCGAGTTTTCGTTTTCTGTGCTTCAACCTTGGACAAGACCCAAGTGGCTTGGCAAGACATACTGAGCAGGTGTTCTTCTCTTCTCGTTGGTGGGGCAGTTGTTGTGAATGGTGCGGTTTAAATTGTTTTTTGTTGTTATTGCTTTTTTTGGAGGAGGGGCGGGGTCCGTACTATAAGTATGGTATAATGGGCCTCAAAACCCGTTTCTGATTATTAAGGCCCCTACAGTAAGCCCCTTCTATGCGTTGGGCTCTGAGGAAATCGGAAAACATGGAGCTCAAGGCTTCGAGATGCTGCACTTTTTGCTTACCCACGGCCAGATCCAACCGGGCACCCAACCCCAATCCAGTTAGCAAAAGCCATTTCCATTTAAGTAATAGTACTAATATACAAATTCTATTTTGAAAAAATCGTAATCTTCTAATCCTACCCAACTCCCCGGGACTGTGCTTTTTGCTTGTTCATCACCAGAACACACCCACTAGACGCCCATTGCCCAGAAACCATAAGGCATGCAGTGATAATGAAGATGGTGGCAGCGATGGTAATCACGAACACACTGTGAAGAAGAACCAGAAGAAGATGGTGATGATTCGGCGAGGTGATGACGAAAGTGGTAATGATGATGCTGCTGGTGGTGGCGGTGTCGCTGGTGGCGGAACTCGAAGCCCTGAACCCCGACCACCCTGGTTGTTGCAACATGTACCCGCCCGAAATCACAGTCACCACAAGACATAAGTGGGCTCAGCAGCTGGGTCTGGGTGCCGAGTCGTCTTCGCCACGGTAGGAAAATTTACGTTTAGGGGTTTAGGGGCTCACGGCTGAGGGTTTAGGCTTCAACGTAGCATGGCCTTGCCGACGATCCACTTGGTGTTCGTGGACGTGTTCTCGACCTGGAGATACCTGTTGTCGAAATCTCGTTGTATAGAGAACCGTTCCAGAATTCGGGGAACTCAGTAGGGAAGCCTTTGCATACAAGTGTTCTCACCTTGCTGACGCTCTCAAACTTGCTCCGACTTTGGCGGTGGTAGGCACCGTATGTTATGTGCTAAGTACGACACTAATCTGATGAAAGTACTATTGGTGCAAACCTAGAGCAACACTGCCAAACAAAATTGGGATTCTGCTCATGTCGCTCTCGCACGCATGCTTTCGCAACTACTAGATGTTCGGCCTGACTGGGGTCATATCCATCAGTCTGACAAATCCGAAAAGCAAGGTCCATCCGAAACCCCGGAACTCCGAAACCCTGAACCATAAGTGATGTCAATTGAAGCCTGGGGTGTTGGCGGGCTTTTTCTACCCCAAGAGGAGGAGTACTGCTGCTGGCTATTCAGGCCCCTAATTATCCCAAAAAACCCCAAACCCTAAACCCAAATCCTAACACCCTAAACCCTAACACCCTAAACCCTAAACCCCGAACCTGACATAAACCCTAAACCCTCTATCGCTTTGCTTCCGGCTTGCGTGAGCTCAGGATTCACGCAGAGCGCCACATTGGAGGGAAGGGTCCAGGGCGTCGTCGTCCACGCAAGGACGTAGGAGTTCTCCTGCAGGCCATGTTTTGGGCGGGTATCACATTTAACGTGTCTTTGTAAATTAAATGAGGGTTACCGGTTTAGGCACTGCACTTTAGGTTTTAGGTGTGGGGCTTTTTCAGAGGACCTTACCATTTAGGGAATCTAGGGTCTGCATTGGGGGCAGAGGGCTTGGAAATTGGAACATCGTTCACAGGATCCGCAAACAGCTTTCGGGTCGGATGCTGTGCTGGAAGATTGTGGCACCGATTTCTCAGGGTGAGATAGGAGGCAGTAAGGCACCAAGACGCACCCTTTTTCCGGCAATATCCCTACGAAGATTAAGCTTCAACAGTTTTGCCTTGCGGATTTTGGGATATAGTATACGTAAGGCTGCCCACCTAGGGGTTTGGCAAAGAAAAGACCAACAAACACGCCGCCGTCTGCCGTGCAAACCCAAGCTAACTAAAGCCATCCCTACTTGTCGGGTATCATGGGGAACTAAAGGTTAACCTTTTTGATTATATAGGGATTATATAGGGATTATGTAGGGATTATATAGGGACTATACTACCCAAAAAAGGTTCAATTTTCCCTACTCTATGTCTACTTCCGAGAGCGCGCATAATGAGCGAGTCCAGACGAGTGCCTCCCAACCGCGAGTTGGTGCAGCTGAAGGGTCACCAGTCAGGACACTCTGAAGCTTCTTGTAAGATGGTAGGTTTAAAGCTGCGGAGGAGAATGATTCACGGATTGAGGTTTCGAGCTTGGGTCTTAAGGTTCAGGGCTTAATTAGGGATCAACTGCACTTGTGGCCTTGAGGGGTTCACTCCTGATCGCCTGGGGTGTGGGAATTCGTTGCGGGGCCTTCCGAAACCGAATCTTAGCTGAGCCGAACCAGCAACGAAACCACTCCGGCGCGCCTCGTTCTTGAGCCTGGGTCTCGCACACAGGCTTTGGAGTTTGAGGTTCCCTATAGTGCGCTAGGAAGCAGAGTCGGCCACAGCTGCGCATCATCTATTGGCAT